TTCAAAGAGGAGTATGGCTTGTACCAGGAGAAGGTGTACTGCTTTGTGCATCTGAGCATCCAGGAGTATCTCGCTGCTTTATACATCTTTCTATCAAACTCATCAGCTAACCTACTGAAGACTGCAGTGGATCAGGCATTAGAGAGCAAGAATGGACACTTGGACCTCTACCTCCGCTTCCTCCTGGGCCTTTCGACAAACTCCAGGAAGACTCTGTTAGAAAGGCTACTGCGACAGAGAAGATTCAGCTCACCTAACATTGGGGAAACAGCCCAATACATCAAGGAGAAAATAAAGGAGAATTTATCTCCAGAAAGGACCATCAACCTGTTCCACTGTCTGAATGAACTGGGTGACAATTCTCTAGTAGAGGAGGTACAAAGATACCTGAATTCAGGAAGACTTTCAGCAGAAGATCTCTCACCTGCACAGTATTCAGCTCTGGCCTTTGTGTTACTGATGTCAGATGAGGAGCTGGATGTGTTTGATCTAAAGAAATTCTTCAGATCAGATAATGAGCACTGGAGGCTGCTGCCTGTGGTCAAGACATGCAAGACAGCTCAGTAAGTGATGCGAGGATGTAAAATCATGTCTTATCTGGCAGTTAAACATTAACATTGTTTGAAATATATGAAATATACAGTTTCTTCCTCTTCATGGATTAATGACTTGGCTAGATTTGTTTTTTGATATCCTGAATGCAGATTTTATAATGGCTGTAGGTGGCGATGTAGTAAAATAACACAAAAGTGACATTTCCACTAACATCCACTATGCCTTCCGATAACTGGGGCAACATCCTAACCTGCTATATAAGAACATAAGAAATATACAAACGAGAGGAGGCCATTCGGCCCATCAAGCTCGTTTGGGGTGTATGTATATGTAACCCGTGGAAGAAATATGGCAATGGTTATAGTTAATAATGCAAGTTCATATACCTAGTAAAGGAGGTTTAAAAGGGTTAGATTTATATTTCTAGTAATGCAAAGTTGAAAAAGTTGTAAATACCTAAAAAATTTATTATTCTGTGCTTAATGTTATTTATAATATTGTTTGGTATTATTGTAAGAATATAACTGAAATGTATAATTTACGTTAAGTAACCAGTGAACCAATGAGAAGGGATTATGTGTCCAAGGATGAAAAGAGGAGGGAGGAGAGAGTGAGTGATGGGCAAAAAAAGAAGAGAGTTAACGGTGAAGTACACGGAGCGTGTATTTGCTAAAACTGCCTGTAAAAGTTTGCCTAAGTGATTGGCTAGATCATTCAAAAGTGATGGGCAAAAGTTAAGGGAGGTGGCGCACAGTGGCTAAAGGTGCCTATGGTGGACGGAGCTGAAGTGTTAGCGGACAGCTAACAACGCGAGCGCCATACCAGTGACCCGGAGGACACCGGATTCGCCGGACTCACCTAACATTGCGACGGACAGATACAGATGGAGTCTCCTCATCATCGTACAGAATTTCCACGCTTGTGATTCACTGATATCTAATCCTGTCACGATAACGAATTTTGCTGGACGATAAATTGTTGCGATAAACAATAATATTGTCGTTGTGAGACCATTTTCAACTGATGTAATGATAATGGCATAGTACACCCTTTCAACGATCAATAAACTTTAATTTCTAAAGAACATTTAACACATTCAAAAAAAAAAAAACAACCAAAAACAATAAATAAAATGGATTATGAAGTCTGTAAACAAAATCGCCCTTAAAACATTAAACATTAGGCTCAGACAGGGAAAACAGGCAAAACTGCCAGTTAGGACCTTCGTAAACAAAAAGTGCTAACTAACAACAATTAAAACACTCCATATGAATAAAAGCAGGTGCCTCAACAGGCCATATGCGCTTTTCAAATTACAGTACTGTACAAATTAAATTACTGAACTGTGTATAATTCAAATACACTATATAATACAGTATAATACTGTACCTAAATATTCAATTTTATTTATACAGCGTATTTTCACATTGTCTGAAAGCGTTCGCTGCAGCATCTTCGTGGCTCGTTTTATGGCGGTTTATCATAAGCCTTGATGAGTCTATGTAACACAAATCTGAATATTGTTGGAGTCTACCGTCTCCACCGGGTCAAGAGATTCACAGCTGACACGTGGAGAAGTTGCAGGTCACCAGTTTATTCTCTGACAGATTGCAATCCTGGAGCGACCATCTGACATACATTCAGCATGTACAAGAGGAAGCTCAGCCATATGTATCAGCTGTATCCCTTTTAAAGCCCTTTGGGCATCTCCCCCCTCTCTCGGTACCTTCCGTCTACGTGACAACCACGTTTGACGTTTGCTCTAGTTAGTCAGTTAGTACTTGTCCTTCTGGAAGGCTAAAAGATAAGTAAGGGCTGCTTATGTTGTCTGTCGGCTCCCTCTATCGGTCCCGATTAGGTAACCTTGCCCTGCCGGCTCCAGTCAGTTCTCGTTTCAGTTGACTGCATTTTTTAGAATCAACCCCCCCCCTTCATCATGCCCTGCTTTAAGCTATACCCTCCTTTTCCTCTATTCATTGTATGTTCTTTATAATTCTATTGAATCCCACAATTCCCCCTTTTGATCTCCGCAATGAGATCACCCTGATTATGCTGATTATTAATATTTTGCCTTATTTATAAAATTTTGCATTCCCCCTTTTGATCTCCACTAGGACATCACCCTGATTATAGGCAATGATTCGTGGAATTTTTCTGCTTCCCCCTTTTGATCTCCGCAAGGACAATACAATACAATACAAACAGTACAATATCTGGAGGAGGGCCGTCTTCACCCTCCTTCCTGACGGGCAGGAGAGGCATCATCTGCGCATAGGTAGTGTCCCGCTTCTCTATTACGGTGGTGATGAGACGAACTGACAGCGCGCAGACAGGGAATACAGCAACACCCTGGCCTCCTGGATCTCTGCTGTGGTTCTCCTTGGGTCCTCCGCAGCCGCGCACTGGCTCCAGTGAAACCACGTGTCGCCTTTGCCTTTCAGACGAACCACGTGTGACGTCCTCTCAGTGACCTGGAAGGGGCCCGTCCACCTGGGCTCTGACCACTTCCGTTTGATGACTTTCAGGAGGCCCCACTCCGCCGTGTGTGGTTTGGCTTGCTGGTTCTCTGGTCTCGCCTCCTGGATTTGTTTAGAGAAATCTGCAACGAGACCTTGCAAACAATCATAATATGCCCTAGGATTTTGCTCCCCCTTCTCGTTGGGGGTCCAGGTTAACCCTTTCTGGGGTCCTAGG